GGAACCATATGCTGGTAAAGCTGTAAATCTTGTCTCCATCAGAGAGATAATTATAGTGAATGCTAAATAATGCTGTTAATTTTTTGCATTTTTATGCAAAATAACGAATTTTTAAAAGAAATGAGCCTTTGAAGACTTTATCAAATTCAAGGTTGCAATAAAATATCCGAAAATGCCTGGAGGCGTTTATCGAGCAACAGCTCAGCCAGATGTGCAGTGGAAGCTGCAGCAGTTGCAAGATGCCAACAATTATTGGGCTCAGGCACTTAATACTGTTATCAGGGTATGTGTTTCCTTTTTTTCACGGAACAGTGATAACAGTATTCGGGAATCGGAACCCCCTGAGCTGTCATTATTGAAATGGCTTGCATAATTGCTTTTTTAGGCCTTGAAATGGGTAAAGCAAGTAAAGCCTTCGGACGATCCCGCGAAAGTATCAGCCACTCTCATAAGTATCATGGCTGAGGTACTTTTTATGCGTCTTTTCCTTTTGCGTAGTACAGAAACACATATTTTCAAGGAATTGTTTGTGTGTGTATCCGTGTGTGCGTCTGTACTGGTTTTTCGTCTCGAGACTTATAAAAGCTACAAGGCTGACTAACTGCACGTACGCACCCCCATCCCCAGGATGGGCGCTCTTACCCACATGGTTCCCACGTAGGGGTTCGCCAAAGTTTTTGGCGGATAAGCCGCTAACCCAAAACCAGGAAAACTAGAGGAAATGACCCCCGTCCACGTAGGTCATAGTGAGTTCAAACCCAGCCTCCAGTTATGCGTGGTTCCCACATGCGGGCCCGTGAAAGTTTTTTGCGAGTTGCTTACTCGGGAAACAGGAAAACTGGAACGCTGAAATTTTAAGGGGATGTTCTCCGTCCACGTAGAACCTAGTGACTTTAAGCTCTGCCCTTAGTTATGGGTGGTTCTCACGTACGGGCTAGTGAAAACTTTTAGTGAGTAAGTTTTTAACTCGGGAATCAGAAAAGCTAGAAAGCGGAAAATTCAAGGGGATGTTTTCAAATAGTTCTGGTGGACAGTCTCAGTTCTCTCAGCTAGATCTGTCGGAAAAAAAGTGCCGTTGGCGACAAAAACCTGCAGGGAATTATGCAAAAAACGCATCTTTGCACCGGCAGTCAGTCCGTTGGCCATTTTTTGATTATTGCCTGACGCATCTTTTTCTGACATTTCAGATTTTAAAAATCGTAGTAGACTTCAAAATTTCTTAAAAAAAATTTAGCTGTTTTGCAGATAACCAATCTTATTGGTGAAGCACGTACGACATTATGCGTTCCGCGAAAGCGTACGCTGTTGGAACTGTGCAATTTACCAGTAACACGTTGTTTCAGTCCATCGCTGCCACCGGATTTGGTTTTCTCGTATTATATTAGTACCAATCGTCTTGTCTGTGCTGCCTATCAAGTTACACCAAAACCAAACGGTTGGTTTTTTTTTCTTTATTTTTTAAAAATGTTTTTCCAGGATATTGTAATTTCACAGAAAACATAATTTTCGTTAACGCGTAATAGGTTATAAGGCAGCCTATGCATAAATGAGCAGACTGGGAGTCTTGTTCTAGGTATAATTGATTCCGGGCTGTTTTCTGGCGAATTCCTGTTCTAGCCCCCCGAAAGCATCTAGCATGCTTGAAGCATAGCGGATATGCTTATGAGACCTGTAAGTTTAAAAAAAGGAATACGAAGTTATGGTTTCACCTTTAATATCTTCTAATTACTTCTGTGTTAATTCACGACACGCAAAAAAATTTTCAAATAGTTCGTTGCTAAATTATAAAGTATATTACCTTCGTTGCAATTCTTATTCAGTTCTTCTGGAGACAGCAGTTTTCAGGCTTGATTTTTGTGACTTTTGTAAATTTTTGTGCTAAAATGTTTTTTTTTTGGCTATCGTAGAACCGCCCTCGAATGAGAAACTGAGGATATGGCTGATAATCATACGAGTAAAATTTGCT